GAGTTGGAGGTTGCTGTGAGCTGTAATGCCACGGCACTCTGCCCAGGGGGACAGCTTGAGGCTCTATCTCCAAAAAAAAAAAAAAAATGGTTGCCTATCTTGGGACTTGTAGCCATAGATACAAAACAGAACCCTGGTAGATGTGGAAACAATAAATGGAAAGATGGTTCACTGTCAGAGGACACTTGGCTAATACCTCTTCTTTCTATAATTTGAGAAAATTCTAGGAGCAAGTGTCATGTTTGAGACAAGAGCAAGAGAGTGTACCTCAGTCCAGCCCAAGCATTGGCAATATTCTGTAATAGAGAATCAAAGTGGATGTCAGGGTAATTGATTCTACCTTAGGCTTTACTGAGGAGTTGGGATTAACTATCAAGTTTTAGTTTAAGGAGCATTCTTCTTTCTTTCCACACTTGGTGCTCCTGGTATCTTTCCACCTCCAACACTCCCAAGACCATGTTTTTCTTGTACTTCTGTTGGTTTCCACACGGATGAGGCTTAGATTGGAAAATTGGAAAGAGGAAACAAGTTTAACCAGGTGACTTGACAATGTCAGAATCACGTGTCCAGCTATATAAAACATTTTAAGTCCCTGTTTTGCACTATACCATATAGCATACTGGGATGTTGTTCCAAGTAGGCTAACCTGAAAGGTAAAAGTTTAGACCATTAAATGTAGAGGAAGTTTCCCAGATTCGGGGCATATTTTGTACCAGACTTTTGCCAAGAGTCCTTGCTGTCAGCTTGTGCCATCTGCTCATTCTGTGGGTGTAACTTTTTCGTATCTCCAATTTTCTCTTACCTTTCCCTTAACCTCCAGCCTCCTACTCTTCATGTGTATTTCTTTCCCACACTAGTTATCAGTTTTGGAATGTGGATAGAAGTGCCATCCATTTTCTGCCTTTCCCTCTTTTCCCCCAAATTCCCTAGCCACAGCACTCTGGCAAGAGAATATCACAGTGTGCTGCAAGGTAGAGGAGGTCATCTAGTCTAAGGAGAGAGACCCTGAAACTCTTCAGGGGCTGTGTGATCTCAAGTCTTCTGGAAGCTAGCTGAGCATCGGTGAACATACTTCAGCATTGTTGTTTCATTGCGGGTTAATAGGATCCTTCAGAATGTAAAAAATAGAAAACAAATAGAAGGATAAATCAAAGCACTTTGAGAGTTCTGTATGAAGAGCATTGTTCCACAGAATTAGAGTAGTTTGTTTCTTGGGTTTACGTCTTCACTGAGTTGCTTCTGACCTTTTTCTTTGATGCCAAACAAAAGGCCATAGATGATTTTAGCTTGTTTCTCAGCTGCTTCAGTCACCTTCTTCCATATGGTGTCACATGACTTTTGCTGAAGGATGAGCTGGTCCTGTGGGTCTTTGTAAAGCCTAGATGATAACGTTAGTTTTGTTTTGCTTTGTAGGAATACCTCCACGGGCCCACTCCCGAGATTCTAGTGATTCTGCTGATGGACGGGCCACACCCTCTGAGAACCTTGTACCCTCATCTGCTCGTGTGGATAAGCCCCCCAGTGTGCTGCCCTACTTCAATCGCCCTCCTTCAGCCCTTCCCCTGATGGGTCTGCCCCCACCACCAATTCCACCCCCACCACCTCTCTCCTCAAGCTTTGGGGTCCCTCCTCCTCCTCCTGGTATCCACTACCAGCATCTCATGCCCCCTCCTCCTCGATTACCTCCTCATCTTGCCGTACCTCCCCCTGGGGCTATCCCACCTGCCCTTCACCTCAATCCAGCCTTCTTCCCCCCACCAAATGCTACCGTGGGGCCTCCACCAGATACTTACATGAAGGCCTCTGCACCCTATAACCACCATGGCAGGTAAGTACTGTTTTGTTCCTTTGAGATCTGAGCCAGATGATAGTAGGATAGACAAGTGTGTTAAGCATTTTGTTCTCCCTCAGGAAGTAAGCACTGTTTCCTTGTGTTTCTCATGTGAAAACTCTTTTGTCATGGTGTTGAGTCCTGGGAAATAGTTTATTGTTTGTTTGTGTTTTTATTTTGTGTTGATTGCATCTGAACTATTGACCCAAACCATGTCCTTCATATCCCTTTTTAAAGAGTTTAAATTGAGAGCCATAAGCAGCTCCTACAAATGCTACAAATGTCTGACACCGTTGAGTCATGCCAAAATTACTAAAATACATGACATAAATTCTATCCTCAATGAGAAGATGAACATAAAACATGTGAACTAGCTGGGAACCATTTAAGGCTTTGTATGGTACAACATGATTAAATAACATCAAACTATACAGGAATGGGCAATCAAGAATGATATTATCTCTGTGCAGCCGAGATTCGGGCCCTCCACCCTCTACAGTGAGTGAAGCTGAATTTGAAGAGATCATGAAGCGAAACAGAGCAATTTCTAGCAGTGCCATTTCCAAAGCTGTATCTGGAGCAAGTGCAGGTAACCACACTTCCTTTCTTGCCTTCTCCTTATCTTTAGATTTTTCCCTGATTTTGTCATTTCCATTGGCAAAAGTTTAACAAGATAAAGTAAGAGCACTGTTAGATATAAGAGTGGCATACTTTGGCTCAGCACCTGTGGCTCAAGTGGCTAAGGCACCAGCTATATACACCTGATCTGGTGGGTTTGAATCCAGCCCGGGCCCACAAAAAAACAATGATGGCTGCAACCAAAAAATAGCTGGGCGTTGGGGCAGGCACCTACAGTCCTAGCTACTTAAGAGGTGGAGGCAGGAAAATTGCTTGAGCCCAGGATTTGGAGGTTGCTGTGAACTGTGATGCCATGGCACTCTACCCAGGGCAACAGCTTAAGGCTCTGTCTCAAAAAAAAAGAAAAGTGGCACACTTTGAAGAACAACAAGTAACCTAATTTCTTGGCATTAGGGAAGCTCCAGTGGTACTGCTGATTTAATCCTGTGTCTAGACCTGCCCCCATGAAAATCAACTTAGTGCCTAGAATATAAATAAATAATACCATGTCATTGTGATCTCAATGGTTGACTTTTAGATTTGATACTTGTGTAGTAGAGCCAATGCAGAATATAGACAGTGGGTTTTTAGAAATGATGCTTTGATGAGGTGATGGTTTGATACAGAATCTGATTTACATTCAGGACTAGGCAGAGCTGATGGCTCCCATGTAGCCTATTCCAGAAAGGTAAGTCCATTTGGCATCATTTTAAGACATTATACTGGGCAGCGCCCATACCTCAGTAGATATGGCACCGGCCACATACACTGAGGCTAGTGGTTCATACCCAGCCTGGGCCTGCTAAACAACAATGGCAACAACAACAACAAAAATAGTTGGGCGTTGTGGCAGGTGCCTGTAGTCCCAGCTGTTTGGGAGGCTGAGGCAAGAGAGTTGCTTAAGCTTAAGAGTTTGCTGTGACAAACACAGAGGTTGCTGTGAGCTGTGACACCAGGGCACTCTACCAGGGCAACAGCTTGAGATTCTGTCCTCCCCCAAAAAACAAGACATTATACCCTTACGGCTAACTTTTGCTCTGCTCTCAGTATTAAGTGGGCAGAACCAACAGCCATGATTGTCAAAGCTTTGGACATAAAATCTTTGGTTCCTAAAAAGGGAGGCAGTACAAAGTTTCAGGGTTTTGGCCAGGCACAGTAGCTCATGCCTGTAATCCTGGCTCTAGGAGGCCCAGGCAGAAGGATCCCTTGAGCTCAGAAGTTTGAGACCAGCCTAAGCAAGAGTGAGACCCCATCTCTGCTAAAAATAGAAACATTATAGCCTGGTATTGTGGTGGGTGCCTGTAGTCCCAGTTACTTGGGAGGCTGAGGCAAGAGGATCGCTTAAACCTAGGAGTTTGAGGGTGTTATGAGCCAGACTGAGGCCCTGGCACTCTAGCCTGGGGCAACAGAGTGAGACTTTGTCTCAAAAAAAAAAAAAAAAAAATTCCAGGTTTTTTGTTTGTTTGTTTGTTTGTTTAACTTTAATATCTTTTTTTTTTTTTTTTGGCGGGGGCCGGGTTTGAACCTACCATCTCTGGTATATGGGGCCGGCACCCTACTCCTGAGCCACAGGTGCTGTCCTCAGGGTTTTAATATAGATTTTACATCATGCCATTTCCCATATTCACTTCCTCCCTATGAGTTCTCCACATAAAGGTAAATATCTGTAGATTATCAGATCTCCTAGGAAAGATGTTAGCACTAAATATTATTATCTGTTTTATGTGATTTCTCATCTTTGGCTGTAAAACTTGAATTCAGAGAGTAGGTTAAAGACAGAAAATGTTTATGTACAGTTTTTCCTCTGCCAGAAAATCAACATTGACCTCTAAATGAATCTTTTTAAATTAAAAGGTGATACATGCTTATCATGACAAGTCAGATAGAGATGTATAAAGAAAATCCTCATTCTTCTTTCTTTCCCTCTGGTTCCTTCACACTGAGATGATCAGTAACTGAGTCTGTGTCTCCCTCTCCTTTTGTTCTCATTCCAGTCACTCAGATCACAGGTGTTTATGGAATATGCTAACAAAACAGGCAGAAATTCCCTACTAGGGTGGAGCTGAAGTCCTAGTGTTCCCAGGCCTCCACAGGATCACAGTCCTCCATAGTTTCTATTTTATTCTTTTTCCCTATATAGTTCTCATGTTCACTGGACCCCTGTCTGGATTCATGCTTTCTTTGTATATCTTCTGTCCATAATGCTGTTGACTTAGCTTAGAAAAGTAAAGTGCAAGTACTTGCCCTGAGCCAGACATTGCTCAGATTTGGGAAATGAAAGGGCTAGTTTTTGATGGCAGCATAGTTCTTTTTAAGATTTATACATATGCTATTTGGGTATTAAAACTAATTCGTGGGCTCGGAGCCTATAGCTCAACCGGATAAGGCGCCAGCCATATACACCTAAGGTGGCGGGTTCGAATCCAGCCCGGACCCGCCAAACAACGACGGCTGCTACCAAAAAATAGCCAGGTGTTGTGGCGGGCGCCTGTGGTCCCAGCTACTTGGGAGGCTGAGGCAGGAGACTCGCTTGAGCCCAGGAGTTGGAGGTTGCTGTGAGCTGAGATGCCATGGCACTCTACCCAGGGGGACAGCTCGAGGCTCTGTCTCAAAAAAAAAAAAAAAACAACTAATTCATGGAAATAAAATAATTAAAGTAGTAGTTGGTTATATTAAAATTCGTAGAAGTATACAGTGTTTAAAAATGAAAGTCCTTTATACAAGGATAACACATAATTTTGATTGTTCTTACAAAAATAGAATATGGTTTTGTAACTTTTTTTCAGTTCTGTATTTGGGCACCTATACTACATTTATTAAGCACTCACTGTATGCCTGGTACTGTATTCAGTGCTTTACATCAGTTACTTTACATAAAGATTTACCTCCTGCTTTTTAACAACTTTGTAATTAATATTCAGTGGAACCAGTGTTCCTTAATTTATGTAGCCAGACAATTGAAGGTAGTGTAACAAACAACACTGAAACATTACTGAATATACAGTATAATTACTCGGTGAAAAAACATGTACATTGTTTATTTTAGTTTTTTTTTTTTTTTTTTTTTTTGAGACAGTATCACTATGTCACCCTCGGTAGAGGGCCGTGGCATCACAGCTCACAGCAACCTCAGGCTCTTGGGCTTAAGCAATTCTCTTGCTTCAGCCTCCCCAAGTAGCTGGGACTACAGGCGCCTGCCACAATATCCAGCTTTTTTTTTTTTTTGCAGTTGTCGTTGTTTTAGCTGGCCCTGGCCGGGTTCGAACCCACCAGCCTTGGCTGGCGTCCTACCCACTGAGCTACAGGTGCTGCCCTATTTTATTTTTTCTTTTTCTTTTTTATTGATTGGAATTCATTGAGGGTACAAAGAATTAGGTTACACTAATTGCATTTGTTAGATAAAGTCCCTCTTATAATTGTTTCCCACCCCCAAGAGATGTGCCATACACTGACTAACTTGTTTATTTTAATAAATATGTTAATTGGCCCTTGGACAACAATATATCAGTTTGTACGTCTACTAGCAACATCTGACAACATCTTTCAGATTCTAAACCACTGAAGATAGGTGTCATCCAGTTTTATACCTTCTGTGTTTGCCTTATCCATTTTATTACCATGGTTCTTTGGGACGGTTAGTTGCTCTTGGTTTATGGTTTTTTGAGTTTCTCTTTTTTTTTTTTTTAATTTTATGTTTTTTTTTAGACTCTCACTATGTTGTCCTTGGAAGAGTGCTGTGGTGTCACAGCTCACAGCAACCTCAAACTCTTGGGCCTGAGTGATTCTCTTGCCTTAGCCTCCCAAGTAGCTGGGACTGTGGCCACCTCCACAACACCCAGCTATTTTTTGTGGTAGTTGTCATTGTTGTTTTATCCTGGGCTGGTTTCAAACCCACCAGCCATGGTATATATGGCTGGCACCCTAACCACTGAGCTTTGGGTGCCCAGCCTGAGTTTCCTTTTTAGTCTAGTTAGTTTACTGCTTCTGCTTATCCTTGGCCTTTCCCATCCATCCCATGTCAGGGGATTACAGTGATGCAATCGAGACGCTGCTCACAGCCATTGCAGTTATCAAACAGTCCCGGGTCGCCAATGATGAGCGTTGCCGTGTCCTCATCTCCTCACTTAAGGACTGTCTTCATGGCATTGAAGCCAAGTCCTACAGCGTGGGTGCCAGTGGGAGCTCTTCCAGGTGAGTTGATGATTGTGTCAGGACCTCCTACCCCTGAGCAGTGCTCTTCCAGGGGATGGGGAAGGAAGGGGGGCTGGGGTATGACAGGGACCTGGCTGAAAGAGTGGACTGAGCCCTCATATATTTATGGGGCAAAAAATTAACCAAATACTTTAAAGTGTTGTATTACCTGGAATCTGTGTTGGGTGAGGCAGTGGGCTTATTTAGGGAAAAAGACAGACTGGCATAGTTAAGAATGTGGGCTTTGGAGCCATACAAGCTTGGATTTGAATTCTAATTCTGCTGTTAACTACCTGTGTGACTTGCTCATGTCTGGAAGTTAGTTAATTCTCCAAGTCTCATTTTTCGAAATAGAACAGTAGTAGCATTTATCTTACAGATTTGTTGTAAAAGATCAGGTCAAATAATACATGTAAGATTCTTAGCACTGTGCCCAATAAATTAGTATGATCTCAACAAGTGTAACTTATTTTCCACAGAAAGATTAGTCTTCAAAGAGGTAAGATGCTCAGACAGTGAGCCCATTATAGAGAAATAGAAGAGTAGTTTAGGCAAATAATTGAAGACAGGAAAATATCACCCCTTGGAAGGAATCTAGAAGGCCCTGTGAGTGAGGCTGAAGGATCTTTCTAATAGAAAAAGACATCGATCCCGGGAGAGGTCACCTAGTCGGTCCCGGGAAAGCAGCAGGAGGCATCGAGATCTGCTTCATAATGAAGATCGGCATGATGATTATTTCCAAGAGAGGAACCGGGAGCACGAGAGACACCGGGATAGAGAACGGGACAGGCACCACTGAGAAAGGTGGGAAGAAGCCCCATTCCTGGCAGGGGAATGATTTTTTATGAAAGATTTATAGTGAATGTTTTTTTCTCTCTCTCTCTTTTTAAAGACTTTTGACATAAGTAACCAGAGATAATGTCTTGACTACCTTAGCCTGATTCAGTAACAGCATAGCATAATGGCTAAGAATGTGTTGTCTGCAGTCAGACGTATCACTTTCTCAGTTTCCTCATGTGCACATGCACATAATAAAAGCACATGTCTCAGTGGCTTACTGAGTATAATAATCTCAGTGAGATAATCCATATAGCGCATTTAGCACTCATAGTGCATGTCCCATAGTAAGTTCTTAGTAAATGATAGCCAGTGTTGTTATATTTTAACCCTGTCAATGATGGCCATTGTTATTATATTTTAACTTCACCAAACTTTCAAGTAAAAAAGTCAGGAAAATTGACCATGACAGAAAAGTAAAACCATTGCCTACTTAGTTTTCGGGGTGTGACATTAATGATTTTAAGAAGTAACGTATATTACAAAGATTTTGAAAATTGGTATACTTCAGGGCAGTGCTTGTGGGTTAGTGAGTAGGGTGCCGGTCCCACATACCGAGGGTGGCAGGTTCAAACTCAGCCCCAGCCAAACTGCAACAAAAATATAGCCCAGCGTTGTGGCAGGCGCCTGTAGTCCCAGCTACTCAGGAGGCTGAAGCAAGAGAATCGCCTAAACCCAAGAGCTGGAGGTTGCTGTGAACTGTGATGCTATGGCACTCTACTGAGGGCAACAAAGTGAAACTCTCATCTTAAAAAAAAAAAAAAATTGGTATACTTCAGTCAGGAGAAAGCTAATCTGGAAAAATTATCTTTAATAGCCTTAGAGATTATGTGGAAGATAATTGAGTGGTAGCATGTTTTTGTGTTTAGACAGAAATGTTACTGACAAAGATTTCTTCTAAGCAAAACAGAAGCAGAAGAGTTGGGAATAAAACAGTTAATTCAAGTAATTGAAAAGTTTAGTTAGGATTGGCTGGGTCCAGGGGCTCTGGCTATGTCATCAGGACTTAAACTCTGTCTACATCTCACTCAACCCTACTTTTCACTGTGGCATTTTCATTCTCAGATAGGCTCCAGATTGGGATAATGAAGGAGACTGTAACTGCAGATTACATCTCATTAGTTTATAATCCCAACTGAAAGAAAGCTTTTGGCAAAGATTATTTGTAGTATATAGATAAGAAGTGCAACTTTGACTCCGTTTCTGTGGAGATCTTTAAAATAAGCCAGACTCTGGCTAGGAGAGTCTGTCTGTGGTTCCTAGAGGCTGTTGCATGAGCCAGATAACATTGGGGTTTCATCTCAATTTTGGGGTTGTAGACTTACATGTCTCTAGACTTCCCACCTTTTTTTCTTTTTTTAAAACCTAGCATAAAAATTCCTCATTTCTCCAGCATTTTGCCTTCCCACCTTTTTAATCTCACATCAATTACCTTATGAAGGTGTTTTTGATCTTTTGCCTCTTTGATTGGTTAAGGGTAATTGAGAAGGAAGGTGAGAAGAAGGAACAAATAGGGTTTTTTGGCATCTTTGGGCTAGTTAGATGACTGACTAGATGAAGAAGGGAAAAGAAACCCTCACTGCTCATGAGTCCTTACAATTCCTGAGCAATAGCTAGACTCTAAACAGTTGGAAAATTTCTGCAATATTTTGCCTGGTGACAACCTACTAAGGAAATATTCCTCTTATGTTTAGTTACTGCCTTATTCTTTGGCTTTTTTTTCTGAGACAGATTCTCAAGCCGTTGCCCTGGGTAGAGTGCTGTAGGGTCATATCTCACAGCAACCTCAAACTCTTGGGCTTAAGTAGATTATCTTGTCTTAGCCTTCCAAGTAACTGGGACTACAGGTGCCCGTTACAACACCCGGCTATTTTTTGTTGTTGTTGTTGTTGCAGTTGTCATTGTTTGGGATTGAACCTGCCAGCCTCAGTGTATGCTGGCACCCTATCCACTGAACTACGGGCACTGCCTCCCTTCTCTATTCTTAATTACCCTTTTATTTCTTTTTTTTTAGACGGAGCCTCAAGCTATCCCCCTGGGTAGAGTGCCGTGGCATCACAGCTCACAGCAACCTCCAACTCCTGGGCTCAAG